GAACTAAATGAATATACATTTTCTGTTGAAGAAAACTTAAATGTTTGTCACTAAAACAAGTACAATCTGAGAACATTTTGGGATACTGAGAGCTGCTTCTTTCTCATTCTGCCTCCCCCCCTCCCCCCCACTTTCCCTCAATTTATTTCCCTTTTGTCCTCCCTACAAACATCTTTGGTAAAATGTACATGAACAGCCCATAGCTTCCACTGCTCCTCTGTCCCGGAATCAACTCAGTCCAGATTCGGGCTTTGGATTTGTGAGTGACGCAAGAAGCTGTTTTTGGCTTCAGAAATGTTTTCCTCTGTGTTCTGACTCCTCTCTTGTCCTTCTTTCCTCTCCATCTTTTCTCCACTTCTCTTCCCCAGAAACCCCCACTGTTTCTCTCTTCCTGTTTTCTTAGTTTCTTCCCCTCTCCTTGGTGGCCAAAGCACCAATCAATCAAAGCCACTGTCACAATCTCAGTTTTATCTGTGGCTCTTCTATCTACATGATAAAACAAGATAGAGTGAGCGGTTCTTCCAAAAGACAGACAATCTCCACAGTAGCCTGTGGGAGGCTGCCTAGTGCAGTCAAGTCTGCCAATAAGAGCATTTCCTTGCAGCTGCAGACTTGGGAGAGCAAACCGACAGCTAGCTACACAAGTTTGCCGGTGACACACTTAAGTTGTTTTGCTTTGCAAAAACATGGGAAAATTCTGATAAATTCCAGATGATTTCAAAACACTTTTGAGGGTCAGATATACAAAAAGCAGATAAAATCTGAATTAGGTAAGTCCAAGTTGATGCACAAATCTCTACTTGGGCCCAAACATCTTGCAGATTGGAAGGCTTTAAATCTGACAATTCCCAGTTAGGGATGATAAAAATTGAACTTTGCTCTCCTTAAACCCCAAGCAATTATGAGAAGAGAGGGTTCACTCAAAGTTGAAGTCGAACAGCTAATAAAATGCTGAGGGAAGTGTGCATTAATGAATAGCATTGGAAAGGTTTTTCATCCACTTAAGAAACTGGAATATTTGAAAAAGCAAAAAAAAAAAAAAAAACCCAGAAAAAACAAACAAAAACTTTGCATCTGCATAAGTGGTATATCTGCACAGTATAATCTAACACACCTGTTCCATTGTTCCTATTCTAGGAAGACAATTTCTGTCTGGTGCTGAAGGAGGGCAGAGCAGCTTTTGCCTTACATTCCTTACACCATGACCTACATTCATCAATATTCTCAAGGATTGTTGAACCAGCATGGCTGTATGTCTGAGTAAAACTTAGATTGTTCATTTTATGAAGGTTATAAAACTAAATCTTTTTTTCTCTTTTGTTCTTCCACCTTTTAATTTGAAATTTTCAAACCTACAGAAAAGTGGAAAGAAAGCATAAAGGACACTAACTCACCTAGTTTCACCAATAGGACATTTTCTTATAGAACTATAATGTCATTCATGCTCCCAAGATACCTAACATTGATACACTAGTATTATCTAACATAAACACCATAGTTAAATTTCCCCAATCATCCCAGTGACCTTTTTATTATCTTACATGTCATGGACAGTTTTGAGGAGTCTAGTTTAGTGCTTTGTAAAATATTCCTATAATCTGAATTTGTCTGATTGTTTCTTTGTGATTGGATTCAGGCTAAACATTTTTGCCAAAACACCACAAGGGTGATAGTGTGTACTTCCATTGCATCATATTAAGAGGCAATGATGTTAGTTTGTCCTGGTATTGGTGATATAAATCTCATCACTTGGTTCAGGTGGTAATATTGCCATATTTTCCATTGTAAAGACATCTTTTTCAATTGTGCTTGCATCAGTTACTGCATTGGGATTAGCAGAGTGTTAATTTTCTAATTTTTTTCGTTCCTTTTGTGCATGTCAGATGGAATTGTCAGTGTCAAATCCAGGTCTTTCTGATGCCAAAGCTCATGCTCTTTCTGCTACAGATATAACCTCTCTGATGTGTAAACAAATGAAGCTGCTGAGGAAATAAAGCATCTTAACTTTATCTCATTTAGAGCTTTATTTTCTTTTCTATTGGAAAAAAAATGGGTCCCTTCTGTAGCTTTAAAACTTACTTAAAAAAAAACAAACCAAGAGTATAGCACACAGATAGCTGTTATTTCTAGAGCTCACATGTAAAGGAATGTATCTAAAGAGGTAGAGAAAATCCAAATCAGCTTCTCTCTCTCAGCATTACTGACATTATCCCATTTCTTTGGGGGTCCAGGTTACATTTTTTTGCAGGGGATGGATAGGTGAGTGCTGGAATTAAAACATCAGTTTTAGGGGGGTTTGTTTTTATTTTTAGTTTTTCCTTTTTTTTTTTTTTTTTTTTTAGTTTTTTAGTGGCAAAGATGAATTGAATTGAAGAGTTTAGTGGGACTTCTACCGTTCTTCCCTGAGCCATGATCATGAGATCCCCCTGAGTGAGGGGGAAGATAGGGTCTGCAAAGTAGCCTGTGAAGACCTTAACTCCACACCTCCACTGAGATGACAGATCCACCTTCCAATAAATTAGCGACAGATGGAAGGGAAGGGACTTGGAAGGGGATGGGGGAGGAGATGGGAGTGGGAGGGAGGAGCCTGTGAACCTTGCTAGCTGCCAGACACTGGGAGCATAGAGACGTGAGAATTACATTTTGTCTTCTTTCCCAGTAGCTGCCCTCCCTGAAACTCTCCTTGCTTTAAGGAAATTCATGTGAAAAGATTCCTGCAGGAAGGTGCAGCTGGGAAAACAGAGAGAGAAAGCCCTAGTTCTACCTGTCCCTTCTTTGTTATATTAAGTGGCAACAGCTCTTCTAATAACTAATGAATTCAGGTTTACAAGTCACACTGGCAGTGTCAGGGTTAGCCTGTCAGTGTTACAAACACTAAACAGTCCCCCCAAATTAAAACAAAAAAATATTCTCTTTATTTGCCATCTTTGTACTGTTTAACATGAGTATTTCAACAGTCTCTATTTTCCAAACATGCAAACAGAAAGTGATCTGACCCACAGTATATTGACATACCATGTAGCTATAACCTTGAGATAAAAGTAAAGAAAAAAGTCAAAACAGCTCAAACCAAATACTAACACAAATGAGTCTTTCTTCAGTCCAGATCCCTTACCTCTGTAACAAAGAAACACACTAGCAATAGCATGTCCTTGTAATGGTGGACACACAAAGATAGATCCACCTTTGGCAGACCCCAAATGCATGGCTGGAAAGTCTGATGCATTAATTAACGAACTTAACAAATGTATACTACTCTGGGCCAGACACAATTCCAGGTGTTGGGAATGTCTTATACCTCTAGGGGATGTATAAGACTTGGAAGGCCTCTGCCCTTGTAGAACTTAGCTAGTGACATTAGAAAAAAAAAATAGAGTATACTCCCAAAGGGTTGAGAGAAGGTGGGAAATAACAGCTATAGCAGAAAGTCTGAGCTGCTTTCCAGGATTCCGTGTATCCAGGAATTAAACTGCTTCAAAATCTGGGTCACACTGTGGAATGGCTGTTAAAGACAGAAAGATGGAGAGAGAAAAAAGCAGAGAGTCAGAGAGAAGCTTCACTCCTCACTACAGATGGGAGGGTCTTTTGGGAGCTTTTACCAGGTTGATCAGGAAGAGTCAAACCGAATGTTTATAAGATGATGGATAAAAGCAACAATAATGACTGTGCTTCTGCTGCGTGCTGAAACAATGCCAAAGATGAAATGTCCCAACATGTGAACAGGTAACTAACTGAGCTTCTTTGCTACGTAGAGCTGAACGCTGAGCATTTTAAATGTATTGTCTCATTTAATCTTCTCAATCGTGGCCTGGCGAGAAACTCTAATTTTATTCCCATTTTTCATATGAAGAAACAAATCTAAAAAGGTAAGTAACTTGACCTTGTCTAAGGACATACCTGGTAGGTAGTGGAACGAGAATAGTATTCTAGCTCTGTCTGATGCCAAATCCGTGTTCTAAACCACTGCATTTCCATCCTTAAAACTATTTTTCATCATTTTACAGAAGAAAAAAATATTAATATTGAACAAGAAAATTATTCAGATAGCTTCAAAAAATAGTCTGTGTTTTCAAGATAATATCTTGGAAGAGACAGCCAACCATGTCCTATCAGTCAAAAGCAAATATGCACCACTTTCTCAAATGCATGAGCGTATAAGAGATGGATTTTTCAATTGCTTAAATGTACATAAGCCCGACCTCTAAAATTTGAATTATGATTCAAGAATAAATGGAAATCAGTATTTTATTCAACTAATAAATTACTCCTCCAAGTTTATTTTACAACTGCATACATTTCTATCTTTGCAGTTTACTTGATAATCGAATTACTAATTAACTAAGGTGAAGCCGATTTAGTGGAAAAAATGCAGAACTCCATAACGAAGCTTATGCCTATTTGGGGATAAGTCTATATCAAAATCTTCATTAAGATTTCAAAAATAATCGTAGTAGAATTAAACTTTGAAGAGGGGAGAGTTCGTGTTTTTTGCTTTAAATCATTTAAATTAAATGCAATGAGAAGCGATCAGAGTGCTTATTTTTCTTTGTTTTGTGGGAAATTGTGCTGGGAATGTGGATCTATTGTGAACAAAGGATGTTGGCTTTATGCTGGAACCACCAAGCAGGTTGAGTTGAGAAACAATTAGCTCAGTCAGCAAGCCTTTGAATCTGATTAAGCCAGGAAGTGGTCACTCCCCACAGCAGGGCAGAATGAAGGGAATGAAGGCAGTAACCCAAAAAGAGGAATGATTTCTCTCTCTCTCTCTCTGAAGTAAACTAGTATGAGAATTTATTTTGTCCACTCTATGTCAAGGATTATTTCGTTACACTTTATTATCTCAGGTCAAACAAACTAGAATCTTGTTTCCAAGTGGATCAACAGTCCACATGTGTCATGGCTACTGTCTCTAAGAAACTTATGTTTGTTGAGGCCTGACATACCCCTATGTTTTGGTAACAGAACATCTTTGAGACCAAGAACCCAGGTCACAGAGGAAAATGCAGGACCTCTACCAGGCTGCTGGCTGGATTCTTTTTACTCTGGGGTCTCTCAGTGTTTTTTCTGGAGTTATTGCTTTCTTCCCAGTCTTTTCTTACAAGCTTTGGTTCACGGGATGGAGTGTCTGGATTGCTTGTCCCATCTGGAATGGAGCTTTGGTAGGAACAGATTTTATTATACATGTTGAGAGAATGTAAGAAGGAGGGAAGGAAAGATGAAACGGAATGACATATCCTTTTAAAGTTTTCTAATAATACGAAAAAGTTGAAATTTTACAGAAAATTAACATTTACCTTGGAATATTGATTTCTTTTTGTTGTATTTTAAATATGGGATCTTTTTAAAGATCATTTTATCATGTGTACTGTATATTATATATGTATATGCTATAATGAAACGCTATTTAAGAAATTCTTTAAAAGTTATTTTAATCTTCTCACCTTGATATTCTGAGAAATTGGAATCTCTTTTGACATTTGAATTTAGAATAACATATCGAACACAAAAAATAATTTAAAAATGGAGAATAAAGTAAAATAACTTTCAGGCTAACACTTCCATTAGAAATGCTGATATGTGTCTTACACAACTCAAATGTGCAAGCCCCAAATCTTAGTTTTCCCTCCTTTTCCTTTGCACACAACTGTTTAACCTGAAAATAATTTAAGAAGCTGGGCGATGGACTTCGCCCACTTCCTAGTTCCCTAGGAAAGTGTGCATGTACCAAGTACAAGTCAGCTTCAAGTAGGTGCTCCATGTCTGCTCACTGGATGATTGCACAGATGAAGTATCGAACTGGTACCTCTGCTCCGTGGATCAAAGAAGTGAACACATCTAGCCCTGTGAATAGGTGGCTTCAAGGTAGTCTGACTTAAGAGAAGTTACAGAGGCCCACGGGCACAATAAATCTTTCATTGTTTCTCAGGTTAACTGACATTCACCACTAAAGACTAGAGAATTCAATTTTAAAGCCTTTTGATGTTATGGAATTTTTTCTTGGGAGAGACAAGATTATAAGCCTTTAAAAAAATCAGACTGGGATATTACCTAAAAGTGAGAACTTAGGAAATATAATTTTAATCTATTTATTAAATAAATATGTACTGTACCCTACTACATATTCGAGTTACAATGGAGAATAAAACAAAGTCAAAGGAACTTGGTCCAGTGGGGTTTAATGATGGAGTGCAGATGGGGGTAAGCTGGATGCTGGGTGGGCGGAACTGAACGAGGAGACCACTTGATGGTATTTTTCTTTTTTCTTTTTTTTTAAAAATATATTCTTTTACATCTACCGCCCTAATCTTGGCACTTTGCTCTTCTCCCCAACACCTACTCAAAACCATATGTTCATTGAAAAAAATATTTATAAGATGTGTACCAGAATGCAAAGATGGCAGTTACATTTAGTCAAGCAGCTTCCAAACTTTTTGTTGGTGACCCACAATAAGAAAAAAGTTTACACCTGGAACATACATAATTACATTCTTCTCTAGGTAAATAGATAGATATTGATATATACAAATAATTAGATCTATATAACAAAATTTTCACAAAACCACCCCTAACCTTCTATGTAAAATGAATTCTGATATTTTCTATTCTATTTAATTTTTTTTAAATTCTGACTTCACGACTTATCCAAAGTTTAACAAAACCATGATTATAGCCCAACCCTATGTCACTTTCTTAGAATTCAATTCCCTATCCAAATTTATCATAATGCAGTCAAGAGATAGTGGTCATTTGATTAGGTTCACAAAGTATTGAATTTATACTTCTTATAGAACAAATATCTCTTTTCTAATTAGACCTTAAGATGTAATATAATAGGTCTCCAGCATGTAGCTAGTTGGTGTTTATTTTATTTTGAGAGGACAGCGTAAGGAAGTAGAGTCGGAAAGGTAGGACTTGGGGAGGTGGGGCGTACATTCAAGTCCTGACTTTGACTTTCTTGGCACATGGTCAAGAGCAGAACCCTCACTCAGCCAATTCCCCATTGCCTTTGCCTATAAAATGGGGAATTTTACAAATAAAGAGAGCCTATGTGAAACACTCCAACCCTAAGATGCTCAGAGAGAATGAACACAATTTGAACAAAGTCTGTATAATAAAGAGCTTTGCCAGTTTTAAAGCCCTGTACGAGTGCTAGTTAATAGCATGCCTTTCATTGGTGCCCTCTCTGTGTCCAAATTTTTTGTTCCTAATCCCTTGCCACCTGACTCTCTCCCCCATCCCATTACCTCCTGGACTTCACCTCCTACCACTCTTCTATAACTCAATTATTTCCCACCACATTCGTTCTTTGTTGTTTTCAAATATTCTAAGGTATGTTCCTGCCACAGGGCCTTTGCATTGCCTGTTGTCTGCCTGAAGCTTCTTTCTACACATGGCTCATTCCCTAACCTCCTTCAGTTTTTTGAACAAATGTCACTTTCTCACTGATGCCTTCCTTTATTATCCTATTTAAAATTGCAAACCTCCCCCACAAATTGGCATTCTCAGTCTCTCATACCCTGATCTATTTTTCCCCATAGCGTTTATCATCATCTAATATACTATGTAATTTACTAATTTTTTGTATGTTTGCCTCCCCCCAATATATATTGTACAAGGGCAGGGATTTTGTCTATTTGTTTACTGCTTGTATGTCCAGCACTTGGAATAGAGTGAGTCACAAACTAGGTGTATAATAAATATTGTTCAATAAACACTGTTGAATAAGTGAATAAATCCCATGATCTCCGTGCTGGTGGTACAGAATTCCTTATACAGTTGAACTCCAATTAGATTGTAAAGACTAAAGGTCAAGCTGGTATTCATACTAAAGGAGGAAAAAATCCTCATTAAAAAGAAAAATAAGAACACTCACTCGTTTAGTAATGTTTAAATTTAAAACGCGATCTTTTTCCTTGTGAGTTTCCTGGTGAACTAGAGCTCTGTCTGATCAGGGTCAACTTCAAAAGATCTCTGACTCATTTCACAACCATCCTTGCCAGTCATTTCTCAACTTGCCTGCAAAGTGTATCTTCCTCTAGTGGAAAGATAATTTGTACACTTCAATCATATTGACATTGCTTTTTGCAAATGACTCTATACCTCTTTGGAGACTTGTAAGAGATAGATTTTTACAAGTGGTACAGTGCTTTGTATTTGTTCAATTCCTTTCATTCAAGGCTTTCTAAATTCTTCACAAATATTGGTCCTCAGACTCTCTTAGTTCTGTTCTGCTAGTCATATGATAAGCTGTTTTCCTAGAATTTCTGAACTAGTTATTTAAAGGCATCAGCTGCTAGAAAGTATGCAGCAAAGATATCATAGTGCCTTAAGGACTTAGCTCTACTTTAATCCTGGAAAACCTGGCTGTAGATCAAGCTCTGATGAAGAAACCAAAGTACAGTGAGTTTCACAAGATCTGAAGCCTGGAGGGTCTAGTGACTTGGCCAATGGTGAGCAAAAGTGCTGCACCCAGAACCCTGCCCGGAGACGGGAAGCTGGGAGAAAGGCAGGGCTAGACCTACCCTTGCAGCCCAGGTTCCTCCTCTTTAAAGAAGAGACTTGATTTCAGCATCGCTCAAGTCCCTTACAGCATCAACAGTCCTGTAATTTCCAACTCTTGATGGTCAATTTTCTACTTAGATATCCAAAGCTTCTTTAAGCTCAGCTTGCCGCCCCACCCCCCGCCAAAAAAAAAAAAAATTAATCATCTTACCACCAAAAGCAACAATTTCTTCTCCTGACTTCCTTGTCTTTGAACCCAGTTTCAAACCTCGGAGTGATGTTTGACTCAATCATTTCCTCTTAGTGCTTCTCAAACTGTAATTCACACAAGAATCACCTGGGGATCTTGTTAAAAAAGCAAACTCTGATTCAGTAAATCTGAGGTGAGAACTGAGATTCTGCATGTCTGACAAGTTCCCAAGGGTGTCAATCCTGCATGTCCTAGGACTGTGCTTGGGGCTGCACTGCCCTAAACCAGCCCACCCCCCACCCCACCGCTTCCAACTATTACCGAAGCTCAATAATTAAGTTCATTCTGCCTGAGCGCTCTGGCCAAAAATACATGAGCAGGGGTTTGCAGTAAAGAGTTTATTAGAGTTGGCCAATCTGGAGATAGGCAACCATGTGACCCGAAAGATCTAAATCCCTGATGGCATATAGGTTATTTTGTAACTGGTAGTTACAAAATAGTCATGGGAATGTAAAGGACAGCATAGGGAATGTAGTTGATAATATTGTACTAACTGTGTACTTCTTAATCCTTTCACCTTTTTCACCCTGCCCTCTAATCCCCTTCCCCGATGGCAGCCATCAGTTTGTTCTCTGTATCTATGAGTCTGTTTTTGTTTTGTTTTGTTTTTTCACTTATATCATTCTTTAGATTCCACATCATTTCCTCAGGTCTTGAGGACAACTCTGAAGTCAGCTCCGAGTCTAGAACAAATTTCAAGGAAAGGTAGCCAAGGGGGTCAGTTCTACCTTACAGGAGCTGAAAGATAACTTAGATTAAGATGTTATCTTTAGCCTTCCAGAGGCTTAAACCTGTGACCATTAGTCAGAACTAGGCTATTTGTCTTCTGCCATCTCAAGGGTCAACGATCATCATCATGGGGAGAGACTAAGTTCAGGACAGTAAAGTGTGCTGGGAAAGAGGAGGAAAAACACGCTTGTTTTAAAACTACAGTTTAAATCAAATCAAAATCAGAGGACCCTCGATTTCACAATCAGTTACATCTTTCTTACGAGGCATATCCCTATGCATTACTTACTCTTATTCTCATTGTGCAACCCACCCACCCCTTACCACTTCCCACCCCTGCCCAGGTTTTATACCTAGATAACTTTCATAGCCCAACTGTTGGAATCTCTCCATTAGTGGGTTATAAAATCAATCTATTGAGTAGCTAACAGTATTTATAAAACATGAATCGAATCAGAATAGAATAGAGAATATTAGAGTGTCTCACACATAGTAAAGGTATTATTATTTTGGTTAGATATAAAAATATTTATAACCATGAAGCAAAATATATTTCTCCATGTGGGTAGAGGTTAAAAAAAAAAAGTTTGAAGACCAAGGTCCTACAGAGACCTCGAGGCCTCACTCCATTCCAATCCAGCAAGCATACGACAACCAGCTCATCTTTCTAAACCTCTGCTGTGTCAATCTAGCTCCTTCTTCAAAAATCTTTAGTGTTGCTTCATTGTCAGAGTCCAGACACGTTAGCCTGAATTTTGAGGACCTCCACAACCTGGCCTCCTGTGGCTTTCAAGCCTGATTTCCTTTTCTTTTCTGCCAAATATGGACCCTAGGCTTCCTCTCACACCGTTTCCGAAGCATGACTGCCACTTCCTCGCCTTTGTGATGCAGGGCAGGACAAATTTCCCCCAGTGGGGGTGGGGGCGAGACCAAGCCCTCCACTGAGAGAAGAAGAGGGTCCTTTGGTGAAGAGTGTAGAAAGAATTCAACACACATGCCAAAGTTAGAGTCAAAAGGAAAGTTTATAGGAGAAGGGGTAACGCTCCATAAACAGAGTGTGGTCTCCTCTTAGAGGCAGAGAGTGAGAGCCTGAGAGACTCAGAGGGACAAAGACAATAAAGATGAGGATAGTGAGAGAGAAGGAGTGAAGACAGTGAGAGGGACCCCTAGTGTTGGGGAATTCAGTTTTTACATCATTCTTTAGTTCCTGCGAGTTACAGTTTTAAGACTTTGTTGACCCATTTCCTTTGATATGGACATACAGTGAGGAAGGGAAAGCGTATGTAGTGTGAAAGGCCTGCTAGCAGTTCCCAGCCTTTAATTCATAGGTTCCCTATGGTTTTAGCCATAGGGAATGAAAGATTTTATTTTGTGTAGGGCAGCCACTTAAAGAATCTGTTTTTCCTGTTTCCTCTTCTACAGGTGTGGGAAATGGTTTGTTAGCAATCTCAGCAGAAACCTTCCTTTGTTCTGCAGGTGTCCTCTTGACCTGGCTGCAGAGCTGATCAGCATATTGCAGTCTCTGACTGTAGTTTGATTTAACAGTTTAGTTCTCTTGCCTCCTCCCTACATTACTTGCACATGCTGCTCTGGCTGCTTGGACTGTCCTTCTGTCAGCCATCACCCATTGAAATCACATCTATCCTTCAAACCTACTTCAGTTTCTATTTCCTCCATCATTTGGTGGCTTCATCATTTGTTACCCCTGGTAGTGAGTGATAACTTATCACTGAGCTCTTCTCAAACAGAAAGCATTCACTCTTCTTGCCTAATTTTGTGGACGTTCTTAAACGTGCATTACTTTCACATCTGGACTGCAAATTCCATTGAGAGTTGGAACCATTATTTGTATAATTATTACTTGGTGAGCTTGCTCATCTTATTTAGCCTCTCTGGGCCTCATTTAAAAAATAGAAGATCTACATCTTAGGGTCATAATGAGTGAACACATGTAAAGTGTTTAGTATAGTGCCTGGCATAGAGTAAGTGCTCAATAAATGTTAACTGTTATCATCTGCACAATGCCTATGACATCGCTTGTTCATAGTAGACCCACAATAGATGTTTGTAAGTGAATAAGTTAGCCCATATTAAAATGATTCTTCTAAAAGTTTCTTTCTTTGGTGACTGATCTCTGCTTCCTTCAATTCATCTGTTTCTGGGAACCGCGTTCTTTACTTGAGAAATTTAAAGATTTAGTGGGAGGGCTCACAATTATCAAGCAATCAGAATGTTAGCAGCAACTGTTGCAAAACCCAAGTACTGTCCCTGGAATTGCCCATACAGCAAGTCAACAGCCTGTTGAGGATTGCTGAAAGAGGAGGACGCAGGGCAGGCCCTCCTTCCCTCCACACTCATACCCTTCCCAAGCGCAGCCCCCGTCTCTGTCCTTCCTCAAACCTGCCCATCCTGCGGCACCCAGCATCGCACCTCTCAGACACTCCGGCCCTCGCATTTCCTTTTCCCACTTGACCTCTCTCCCCTACCCTCAAATCTCTTCCTTTTTTATTCTTTTCCCTCCCTGTTTAAAAACAAAAATTTTTTTTGAAGAAATAAAAGGGGAAGGCTGACTCCTGGCAGAACACCCCTCCCTCTATCTCCCTTGCACACGGCGAGGGGCACTGGTAACGATGGGTGCGCTGGGCTCCTGAGACACCGCCCTGTAGGGCGGATTTAACGAGTTACTGGCATTTATACCGCAGCCTAGTCCATGAAAGATCTTTTTCAAAGTTTTGTGTAAATAAAGCAAAATTCAAGCTGGCAGTTACTACAGAAATAACAGGCAACTGCAATTCTGCAGCATTTTTCAACTTTTGAAAGGAAAGAAACAGTTCATGCCAAAGTAGTTACGGCAACCAGGAATCTAAGCGTCTGGTAATGTCAGCTCTCTAATTGGAGTTAAACCAGCAGAAGGGTGTCCTTTGCTTTTATTTCCTTCCCTTCAGTGTTTCTCTCATAGAGCGTTGACGCGTCATTTGAGCGCCTAGCCTCTGAAAGCATAGACTGGCCCCAGGCTTAGCCAGCAGTGCTACAGTTTCTGTTAATAATTCTCCTGTTTTGTTGTACTATTTATACTGGCTCAACCTCCATAGGGTCCCTTAGAAATTTTCCTCTTGCAGAATCTAGCCAACGTCTTTTGACTACAGATGGTTCTGTTTTTATCCATAGGAGTTTTATGGTATGGCAATGCCAAGTCTGGAATTTCAGGCTTAGCTACATGGGAAGTTTTGTGTGAGTTTGTGTGTGTGTGTGCTTCTCCGCCCCTCTCTCGAATTTTCTAAATCCAACATTCAAAATAAAATATGCCAGAAAAATGAAAAGCTAGGTCTCATAACAATAAATATGCCAGACCCAGAGCTACAAAAGCAAATTACCACAAAGCCACATTGATAAAAAGCTCCGATTTTTACCCCTTAAATTTGTTGATACTGTACATACAGTCATGTTTACTTCTCTGTCAAAAACCTAAATGATACTATTTCAGTCCTGTCATTCTATATCTTATTTCACGCACATCCCTTCCTTGTTTTCTCTCTCAATCTAGAAACATTTCTTAACTAGGAACAAATGAATTATGGGTTAGGAGTAAGTGATTTGCAGGCTCAATGACCACAAAGGTCTCCTTTATCAGAGCTGGTACTGCATCAAAGATGAGCCCAGAATTTCTTTTTCTTTTTTTTTTTTTTTCCATTATCTATTGCTCAGTTCTGGTGACACCATTCTCTCCTTTGTTTAACTATTTTTATTCTGTATTTCGGGCTTTTTTCCTTCAATGGAAACTATAAAGAACTCTCTTTGGAAAAGCCGGACACCACTGTACCCAGAACAATAAATGCACCATCATGCATTCATTCTAATGATAATCTTTGTCACTTGAGAAACAGGTATCACGTATTTGTATCCCACCAGCAGGCTTTCCCAGAAAAAGCAAATAGTAAAAGACAGTGCTACAGCTGAGAGAGTTTTTAGGGTTCCGTGACACATTTCCTTTCCAGTTTCTCCCATTTGCAATTTTAGCAATTTGTGAGAAAGATGAACAATAGACAATTAATCAAAATAAAACATATGGCAAGGGTTTTAAAGCCAAGCTTTTATTGCAGTGACACCTTACTGTAGCGAAGGTTATAATTGTGATGGCAAAGGCAACACAGAAAATCAAAAAATGAGCCGTATGAATCATGTCTTTATGACACTGATGGTTTCTTTTCCTCATTGTCATCACAAATGAGATCAGAGCCATAAATCCATTTAGCCATTTGCCGTTCCTTCTAGTTCATGATAAAGTTGTCAAACTGTGAGACAGATTGAACTCTTTCCAGAGGTACATTCTATCATGGATGTTATTTTTCCATTTTCTTTTCACAGGCCATCACAGCTGGTGTACTCCTACTGTTGGCTCACAAAGACTGGGCCCAGAGACACTTGGTAAATATGTAGATATTGTCAGCATAAGAAAAGTCCAAACCTGTAAAGAATTTTTATAAGATTTTATCTGAGCCAAAACTAACAACAATTGCTAGGAAGCAAGATCTCAAATGCTTCGGAGAGTGACAGTTTTGCAGTTTCTTATGCATTTGAAATTAAGGAGGGAACATAAGGAGATTACCAGGTAGGAGAAGGTAAGGCGGGAATTGGATTACAGGATAGTTAAGATTATTTACTCTCTTTAGGATGGTTACGTTTTAGAAGGAGGGGTCTGGAAAGAGATATTTCAAAGGTGTGTTTACCTAGATGCACAGAAACAATGGACAGGGCTTGCTGAAGGCAAAGATAAACCTTTTACTAAAGAAGTTCTATCCCTGGGCTGTGACTACTCACCATGACCTGCCCAGTAAGGAATTTATGATCAGATCGCCTTGTGAGGTTACTTTCCATCACTGGACTTGTCAGTTTTATTACAGAACCCCTTTTTTGACCACAACGTAGAGGAGGATGGTAGAGTGTGTTTGAAGATTAAATCTCTACTAGATGAGGATGGAACATAAAGAATGCGATTTCCAATTATAATTGAATTCTAATTGATGTCTTACTATGATGAATTTCAGTAATAAACCATGTTTTCAATGAAATTTTTTTTTATCTGATTCCTGCTCCAAACATTTTCTATAAGTTTCTGTGATTATTATAAGTCATTTGGGAAGAACAGAGCCAGTGTTAGTGTTCCTGGATTTCATCTTGAAGAAATGGATCAATAGATTCCTCTGCTTGTAATAATGCATTTTCAAGTCTCAACATCTCAGTTTGGGATCTCTTTTCAATCTCCCTGTTATCTCCCCCTTAAAAAATAATTATAAGTCTTGATATCTTGAATTTCAATGGTAAAGTGCCAAGTAATCCCATAATATAGACAGATCACCTTGATCTGATTATCGATCTTTCTCCCATGGGTATAGCAGTGTTTCTCACACTTTAATGTGGGGGCTTTATCTAGGGATCTGGTTAAAACGCAGATCTGATTTAGTAGATCTTGGTGAGGTAGAGATTCTACCTTTCTAACAATGTCTTAGGGGATGTCATTGGACCATGGACCACACCCTGATTAGCAAGGTCCTGGAATAAGGCTGGGATGCTGTTTACTCAACTGTTTTTCCCATCATATTTGTTGAATGGAATTGATTTCGTTGTTGCCCCAGTTGGCTAATGTTATTCTCCCATACTGTAAATTGGAGAAGAGAATCCAAGAAACTAAGGAAAAGGTTGCAGCCAGTTTATCCTTCATTTTCCAGTAGGAAAGATTAATACCAGGTATCTCTTTCTTTCTTCATATTTCTAAGAAGCCATTGAAAAATCTAGTTCCCAAAGTAACATCTTGTCTCTGCTTTATTTTCAGTGGGAAGCTAGTTTCACCTTTGTGATTCTGAGTCTTATGGGATGTCCACTTCATTTTACAATAGCCTTGGAATCAGCTCTTCTCGGCCCATATTGCTTCTACTCATTTTCAGGGATTGCAGGGACTGGTTACCTTGGTTATGCAGTTGCTTTTCCTTTTCCATATGCAAAATTCCCATCAGTTTGCGTGGACCCACCACACTATGAAGAGTACCACCTGACGCTTCAAGCTTTTGACCTGTGCCTGAGCTTTGCCATGCTCTGTGCATCCCTAACAGTGTTCCTCAAATTCTGTGCAAGACTTTTCTGGAATGGACATATAAATGTAAGTTCCAAGAAAGGGGGAGCCGGTTCTTATTTTATCCTGTATGCTGAAATGGAAAGTCTGATATATTAATATTTAATCTGTCTCTCTTATTCACCACTGTATCCTATTTAACCATGCAAGTCAGTGCCTAGCATACAATAGGTACTCAATAGTTGTTTTTGTATGAATGAATGTTAATATGTTGATGTAATAACTGAAGATATGGCTGTAGGTAACACCAGATAATTTTTATTCCAACTCACAATTTAAAAAATTACTAATAGAGACAAATACTAAGAGCTTTTTGTGGAAATCGAAAGTAGCATGCTTAATATTTTTAATATTAGTCAACTACAGATACCTTAATTTAGCTTCTATTCCACTCAGAAAGGTATACAGAATTCAGAAAGGTATACATGCTCCTTGGCTAGAAAAGATATATAAAATTCTCTTACTCTTTCTACTCCTACTCCAGCAGAGAGGCTGATGTAGGCTAACATCAAAATTTAATTTTCTAACTTTTTCCAAGAGAGCTAATAATAATATCCACGATATGATAATAGACATATAAACAATGTTTACTATGTGTACATGTACATTCCAATTTACAGATAGCAAACCAAGACTAAAGAGTTTTATAGAACTTGCCCAAGATCACACAACTAATGAGTAGTAGGTCCAGATTCAGAAAGCAAACCCATTTCTCTTACTCAGGCCAGATTTCTGGACCTTTTTTTTTTCACCCACCTCGTAACCTTTCCTCCTCTGGTCAGCCATTAATATATACGGCTCTGACCTCCAGGAGAATTAGAGCAAGGTCACTAGGAGAAGAGCACAAGTGATCTCTGCTCTAAATTCCTACAAGTATTGATACTAGGTCACTGCTTTGTGGGTTGAACAGCTTACCTCTGGAAAGAGATATTTCCCACTGCAAACTCTTATACTGATTTTATGATTCAAGTCAGTATTATATTAGGGTCAGGTGAGTTTGAGTAATGTTAGCCATTTTTTTCCAAGTTGATCTTGTCAACACCAACCAGCAAAGCTGGGAAATAAGAATTGATGCTTTCAATGCCTTTTGTAGTCAATCTTGTCCTCTTGAACTTTTACATAAGTCTGTAAAGAAGATTCTGTACATTCTTAGGAACAGAGTTGATTTTACAATAAGGTTTACCAAGAGTTGAGACGAGCAGATCAAAATTACCTCCCCCATTATATTGCCAGGGCATCTAGAAGTTTAGTTATTTGATATTTTTCCCTTGTGATGAACATCCCAAGTTCCTAGAGACCTTTGTTAAAAGGAGCATATGGCTAGGAGAATCATGCCTTAAAGTGCTGGCAGTCATAACTTGTTCCTCAACATGGATAGTTAATCAGACACTTGTTTGGCTCTCATCTTAGGCATACCACTGATAACATCTAGGTTTAACACAGGATAGAAGGCAGCGAGAAAAAAAATTTAAAGTATGTGCAGAACTTGGTATGCCAGCCCCATGGAGACCCACAGTGAGACCACTTAAACTACCTGGGGAAAGAGAAAATTAATTGAAATCAAAGCAAAGTTTTTTAACTTCAGAATTTTTTCTTTGCCCATCTTGCTCAGAATATGGTTTCTTGCTGTGTGATTCCCAAGCTAGGTATAGGATCCAACACAACTAGTATATATTTTTCAAGGTGAACCAATGACATCAGAATCACCCAGGATTCTTGTTCAACCAGATTTCCAGAGCCAGTCCCAGACCATTCCTACTACGTCAAGAACTCTGCGGTTGCAGGCAGGGAATGTGCATTTTTAACACATGATCCAAGAGATTATGATGAAAACTCTCTTCCTGGCACAAGATTATCATTGTGTCACTTCTGGACAGAATCTTAGTTTTTCTATGTGCATGTAATGCAGCACTAGTTTGGATGAGAGTTTCTGATAAGTTTAGTAAGCTGCATGTCTTTGGTGAGTGTTTTTGGATAACTTGACACCACTTAGTCTGTAATGGTGGCAGATCATGTTTCATTAGGGAGGATAAGTGGCTGACAAGATGGGATATTATGTTACATATTAATAAATACACCTCTGCCCGAGCCCACAACAAGCACATGCAGCCTGAGCAAATCCTTTATGGTATGTAGAAATCTCAGCTATATTAGACATAATTTCAAGCAGTGAGATAAATGTATTATTTATCAAAATTGTAGAAAATGCACAACTTTCTTAGATCAAAAGATAGATCATGTGTTGGAATACAGAATACTACATAGTGATTATATTTAAGAAACCTCCATATAGTTACATTGTTAGACTTCCCATATCCTAAAAGGGATAAATAATGTTTTAAAATTTTAGTAAAAACTATAATAAATATTGTAAAAATGCTGCTGGTTCACACTTCTTTCCTATATAAACAAAACACTGAAAATGCTTTTAAAAGCTGTACTTTTAAGTGACTGCTTAAAAATTAAAATTCTCTTATATAAATACAGTACATATTAGGAAGCTCGAGAGCTATGAAAATTTATTTTTAAAAAGTTATGGTTTGAAGGAAGATTTGGGGAGAAATTGTAGTTGTACTTTATTTTACTATAGAACAAAATAATTTTTTTTTAGATTCATATGTAGCAGTCAATATTTTGATGAAAAATATTCACTTTTAAGAGTTTATAAGTTCAAAAATATGTTTTCAGAAATAAATCGAGCACCCCCTTAGGAAACACCACATTCATGATTTTTTTCCTGCCTTTCAGTTTAGTAGAATTTAAGTCATCTTATGTCCCAGGCAACTCAAGCTGCTATAACAAAATACCATATACAGTATGTAGCAGTCAATATTTTGATGAAAAATATTCACTTTTAAGAGTTTATAAGTTCAAAAATATGTTTTCAGAAATAAATCGAGCACCCCCTTAGGAAACACCACATTCATGATTTTTTTCCTGCCTTTCAGTTTAGTAGAATTTAAGTCATCTTATGTCCCAGGCAACTCAAGCTGCTATAACAAAATACCATATACAGTATGGCTTAAGCAATACACATTTATTCTCAGAGTTCGAAGGCCGGAAGTCCAAGAAGAAGGTGCCAGCATGGCTGGTTTTTGGTGTGGCCTCTTTTTCTGGCTTGTGGAAGGCCACTTTCTCACCTTTCGCTCACATAGCCTTTGCTATGCCTGCTCATGGAGAGAGGAAGATCTCTCTCTTCTTATAATGACACTAATCCTACCATTGGGGGCTCTATTCTGACGACTTCATCTAAATTTTATTACCTCTCAAATAATTCACCTCCAGATATCATCACAGTAAGGATTAGGGCTTCAACATATAGATTTGGGAGGGGGACACAGTTGTTATTATCTTGTTGAAGGTCACACAGCGATGATATGTGAGCATGCAGTCAATTGGTTCCATCCAAAACCACGGTGAGAAATGCTTGAAAGAGCCACAAAGGTTTTGTTGATTTTGATTAAGACTCACAAAGGCCTTGTGTGAGTGCTACGGAGTAAATGTCTGTGTCGTCCCCCAAATTCATGTTGAAGTCCTAACCCCACTGTGATATTATTTGAAGGAGGGACCTTTGGGAGACAATTAGGTTTAGATGAGGTCACGAGGATAAAGTCCCCATGATGGGAATAGTGCCCTTATAAGAAGATGAAGAGACCAGAGATCTCTCTGTGTCCACCATGTGAGGATACAGCAAGAAGGCAGTTATCTGAAAACTAGTGAGAGGGCTCTCATCAGACACTGAATCTGTCAGCAGCTTGATCTTGGACTTCCAGCTTCCAGAACTGTGAGAAATAAATGTTTCTAGGTGGCTTAAACAACATTTAAGCCACCTAGACTATGGTAGTCTGTTAGAGCAGCCCAAACCGACTGCGCTTCCAAATTTCAAGGGCCTCATGGGAAGCAGTGGAGCTGGGAAAGGAGTAAGAGCCTCCCACTTCTGCCGCTTCACACACACGGGTTGGAGAGAGCCTGTTGACTTAGGACACAGTGCAGGAGGCAAATGAGCACAACACAGAATTCAAGCCGAGAAACTGAAACGCAAAACAACCTTAGCCAGAATTGTCTACATTCTTGGTTCAGAAAATAATAAAGTGATGGGAAAGAAAAGAATTGGGACACCAGACGCACTACAGCTGTCCCCCGCAGCTACTCTGCCCCTCCTCCACAGAATGGAATGGCTCAGTTTGTTTTCCTTTCATTATTCATTGTTATGTTTAGGTTTTTTTCTTTTCTTCTTCTTCTTCTTCTTTTTTTTTTAATGAAAAGGGGAAATATTTTCCCCTAATTATATGAGAAAGTGGTTTTATTATTTTTTAATGAATTAAGAAATGCTGCTTCCCATCAAAAATGTAGGTAAATCCTATAAATGTAGTTTAAAAAGATTTAAAAGAAAGAATATTTTTCAGTAGAGGACCCTCTTCTTCCAAACTGAAGTGAATTAGCAAGCAGCAATATACTTCTAGTGGACCTACACTCCATCATTATCAATATAAATACATTTTGTGACAAATTTACTTGTGACTCTCATCCTAAACTATAGTAAGATCTTTCTGGTGCTTCCCCTAGTGTTAAACTCAAGAAAAACTCAAGCAGGACCATGGAATAATAAGAATCTACTGTATTTCTTCCCATAAATTCCATTATGTAATCTCTTTAAATTGGTCAGTAGAAAAATCAGAATCTCAAAAAATAATCACAGTCAGGGCATTACCATTCCTTTAATGTCATTATTTTCTCTGGAATAATAATAGCAGTGACATAAAACTGTATAACAGAAACATAATTGTAGGTGCTGTTTATTGGGCAGTTACTATTTGTCAAGTGCTTTACCTCCTTTATTCCTCACAACACTCTGAAGCTCATCATTCCCATTTCCTGGTTGAGGATGTTGACATGGCCATGTGGAGCTAGGATTTGCTCCCAGGTCTTGCAGGGTCTGGAGCCCAGGCCCCTCACGACTGGGTCACATCTCTTGGGTGATGTATCTTTGGTCCTACCTATCCCTAGTGACCGTGCATAGTCATGCTTTTCGTGGACAATCTTTCTAGTGTTTCTCATTAATTAAAACATTAACTCATATTTTAGAAATGGAAGTTTTT